CAAAGACAACATTTTTTCTTTGCTTGACAGCTTTCTGATAGTGTAAATAATAACAATATTGCTTGGGCATCTCACTTGATTGAAGTCATTGAACTTAATAATATTGAATTATGAATGTGAAGAAGTTTGTACAAGTCCTATAAAGAATAGGCTTTTCACATCCAAGCATTGCCAATGGAGGAGTGAGGTGAGGGCACTGAGGGGCGATCCCTACTGTACATGTAGCTTCAAATTAAATGTGTTCCTTGGTCATTTTAACCTGATTTGTATGGCCTGTTCAAATGAGCCATAATAATGTACGAGTCAAATCAACCTCAATCAGCCCCCCCCCCCCCTCGGCCAACCCCCGGGGAATTTGACTTTTGAAAAAATAATAGGTCAAATGCCCGCCCGAACAGGCAGAAACCACAGTCAAATGCCCTGCTATAGGGGTAATCCTGGTTCTGGAATTTTGGCTAAAATTAAATGTAACAAGTATTTCAAGATTAAAAAGAACGAAAAATAGGCCAGACAGTTCTTCTTTTTATTTAAACTATCGAAAAGACGCAAAATAGAAAACTTGTGAAGCTCGAATGTGCACATATTTTCAGGGAAAACCGCTGAGCAAGTTGTCAAGTGGTCAAATGCCCGAACGGGCCGTCAAATTCCCGCCTATACGGGGGTAATGTTAAGTCAAATGCCCTGGGGTTGCCCGGCGGGGGAGGGGGGGGGCTGATTGCGGTTGGTTTTGACTCGTACATAATATTAGCATAGAAAATTACATTTTGTTCATGTAAGGAAGCACAAACTATTAGCCCAGTTGGTCAGATCCCAGACTTGTTGAAATGAGAGACCGGGCATTTTAATTTTAATGAAAGTATTGTGAGAATTATCGGTGTTCTATCAATAGGCATAGCATCATTAAAAAAAGCTAACTGCAACTACTAGGGTATACAAGGCACTCATGTCAATGTGTCTAATTTGATCCATTGCTGAGGATGACTAAAATATAATCGAAAAGTAGAATTACCATTGTGTGCTTTATGGAAATACGTAGTGCTTCCCATAATCACCATTCATTAATAATATCAATTCTTCCTTAGGATTATGTTGACGCGGGCTATATGTAACAAACCATTCATTGGTGACGCTAGATGATCTTCATTCAAGATTCATTATCGGAAAGGAATCATCAGCAAGAAATAGTCTTTTCATTGGTTGATAAAAATTAACCTTGGGCAGATGTTTGCCAGGTTGTATATTTTTTGTAGCCTTTGACTTGCATAAGGAAAAGAAAATATATACTGACACTACATGCTAGATGACGAACTCATTGTTGAAGAACATTTTAGTATTGTTTATATAAAAAAGAACACTGTAAAGTCACCTTGTACTGGACAGAGTAATGTAATAAGTGCACAGCTAATTTACATTACCATTTGCAGTCTAAATGGTAATAAATGTGATATTTTACATTCATCCAGCTTTACTGTCTTACATTTTGAGGAGCATTACAGTACAAAACTTAAATGTGCCCTACTTGCCTACTGCCCTTTCATTATATTACTTTATCTAACAGCAAATAAGGTAATATTTCATTAAGGGGTTGAGTCTTATTAATAGTTTATTTGTGAATTTATTTAAATATATATCATTTTGATATTGCGCATAATAGTTTTCACCAAAATAGATTGTGCTTTATATATTTTCTATTTATGTGTATAATGCTAAACTGAATAGAATGTTATTTTTTGCTAAAATGTGTTGATTTAGGTTATGTTAGATGTCACTAAGATGGTTTCGATAAATCGAAACATTGACATGATCTCGATAAATCGAAACATTGGCATAGTCTCGATAAATCGAAACATTGACTTGGTCTCGATAAATCGAATCATACATGGTCTCGATAAATCGAAACATTCACATGGTCTCGATAAATCGAAACATTGGCATGTCTCGATAAATCGAAACATTGAGTTGGTGTCGCTAAATCGAAATATTCACATGGTCTCGATAAATCGAAACATTCACATGGTCTCGATAAATCTGAAACATTCACATGGTGTCGATAAATCGAAACATTGCATGGTCTCGATAAACTGAAACATTCACATGGTGTCGATAAATCGAAACATTGATATAGTTTCTATATATAAATTGATCAGAGATGCCTTTGGTTAAACCAACATATTTTCACTGTTAGCTGTCATGCTACTTTTGCATTATTTGATCCTTTTCAGAACAGTCTATTAAATGTATTGTTAATTTTAGGTAAATTTGATTGTACATGGTCTCGATAAATCGAAACATTCACATGGTCTCGATAAATCGAAACATTGACTTGGTCTCGATAACTCGAAACATTCACATTTCACATGGTCTCGATAAACTGAAACATTCACATGGTGTCGATAAATCGAAACATTGATATAGTTTCCAAATATAAATTGATCAGAGATGCCTTTGGTTAAACCAACATATTTTCACTGTTAGCTGTCATGCTACTTTTGCATTATTTGATCCTTTTCAGAACAGTCTATTAAATGTATTGTTAATTTTAGGTAAATTTGATTGTTTTAGCAAGAGAAGAAAATTTGCATCCTTTTTTTCACAAAAGGTGTTTTTAAGCACAAATTTTTCTGTTTTTCCCAGTTTTGGACAAATTTGTTTAAAATTACGAAAATTGGCACCATTTTTGGCTAAATAGAATATTGGACCCTATAGTAGAACGTGTTTTAGGCACTTATTACGACAAACCTACCAAATGTGCCCCGTTTGGGTTATCCGATCACGTGACCATTGAGGTTAGACCAATTAAACGATCAAAAGTTCAAGGAACATCAACAGCATCAGTAAAAGTGAGAGGCATGAGACCTAGTTCCCGCCTTGCTGTAAGCAAATATATAGAGATGGTAGACATCCCCAGCTTGCTTAACACATGCCACTCTTGTAAAGAAAAAACATCCTCACCCCAAGCAATAATTAATAATGGGTTGGATTCAATTATTCCGCTACGTAATAAAAGCAACAGCCGACGGTTTTCAGACAAACGAATCAAAATGCAAGGAGTTGCGTATAAGCTTTGCACCAAGCACGGTCAAGTGTCTTAAATCCCTAATTTTCTGTTTTCTGTTTTCGTCGAGAAATGGAGTTTGCGTTAGCGCATCGCAGGCTCAGGGTGCGACGATTAATCCAAAATGCCATCGATTCAAATGCCATTCGATTCCTCGACTGCTTGATTTAGTTTTCATAGTAACAAGGTCCGTATTTATGTACGTAGTAGCCGGCTCATGCCATGTTTCTGGTACATCTTTCTTTATTAGCCCATACACTTGTACGCGCGCGCACAATTACCAGTTCCAGACCTCCTGAGTCCCTATATCCATCAGAGGCCATGTGCATTTATGGATAACGTTTGTATTTGTGAGTAATACTTGTGTACCGTTTCTTTGTAATATTGTACGGGATTTGTACCCCGCGAATTTATACAATAGAATGGAATATAAACAAGGACAAGTTAAAGTTTTGACAGTTTGACTACAAAATATTGTATGCGCAGAGTAGAATTGTATACTCAATGTGTTTGTATCATATGCAATACACATATAGTCATTCGCGCATCCGTAATGCACAGTCAATGGCGCGACATCCGTGATGGGTCCAAAGTTAATAAACCTGCTACTGATCGACTTAAGACGTTTACCCTCAGATAATAAATCTATACAAAACGCGAAAACATTGCTACTGATAACTACAAGAAACATACATTTTATTGTGTTACTGAAGATTTGTTGCGTCAAACAATAACATTACTTTTAACTTCAATGCGAATTTTAATACAAGTAAGGCATGGATCATATTTTATAATATAATGAACAATGTAAACTAGCCCTACATTTCGTCGAACATAACTTCGGCCCCTTTGGACATATCTTTTTCGTAATAGTATTAATGGAATCAGAATCCAAAACACTATTTATAGTGTTATTTTCAAGCTTGTGTCTTACTTCAGATTTTCATCTTTTATTTCGGTATTTACAGAATATTTATATTTTTAGCGCGTCCCATAGAGCGTACATCAAAACAACGCGCTGTTTAATTAAATCGTAGGGGTCTAAAATTCGACTTAAGATGTTTTACCTTCAAACTGCACTTCCTCGGAAGTTGACTGGTTGGGGTTTTTTCGTGCAACGTCTCTGGAAATGCAATATCTGGATCGCTGAGTTTTTCGAATTTTGTACGTTTAATATACGGACTCACGGAATGTAAACAATGTTGTCTGTAGGCCGGTTTACACGACCAGTGTTTTGGGCACGGCACCCCTAAAAATGGGCACCCGTGCCCAAAATTTTAGGCACGGCACCGCTGCCTTTTGGCGTGTAAACGTGACAAAAATCGGCACCGGTGCCGCAAAATTTAAACGTGCCGAGACTTTCTCACGAGGTAGTCTCGGCACGTCTAGCAAGGGGTGCCGTGCCCAAATTTCGAAAAAAATAAAAAATGTGTTCGACATCGAGCATGCGCAAAACAAATTGTCCTCTTTCCAACATGGCAGCAAGCGGCGAAAAACTACAACTTGCCAAAAATTAAAAAAAAAAAAAAGTTAAAAAACAAATTTAACACAGAATGTGAATGTTGCTCTAGTTGACTCGGAAATTTTGATACCACTGTTCGTCTCTGAATAGAGCAGTAACTAGATCGTAGCAAATAGCTGTCGTTCGATGCGTCCATACCTCTCAAATTCGTGGCGGGTGAATACAAGATGGCACAACATGCGAGAAAACAACTCCTTTCGTCTTTAAGGGCCTGTTCATATGGGCAGGGGTTATCCCGGTTAACGAGAAAACTTTTCGACTGGCCAAATATACTTTTGTTCTGTTCACATGCATGGAGAAACGTTATTCCGCTTACCGGGTAAAGTTTCCGGCTGTGACATAGCACTGAATATCAATTGAATTGAAAAGTTACTGACACGACAGAAAGCTATCCTGCCAAGCGGGAACTAGAGTTGTGTTCGTATGGGAAAAACATTATCACTTGACAAGCTAGATCTCGGTACGTACACGGGAAACCGTTTTGTAGTCTTATATGAACGCAGTGTAAACTAACTTTTCATATTATTTTCATACCAAGGCGAGATCTCGCTTGTAAACTTTTCGAAAAGTCTTTTCACTAACCAGGATAACTTTTGCCCATATGAACTGGCCCTTAAAGTACGTTCCTAGTATTGAATTGGTTTTTCCCTCGATTTTCGGCTCATATAATATTCTTCTTCGTTCCAATAAATATAAGTATATAATTCTATTTCTGGCCGGCATATTTATTCTTTAAAATATACCGTCGTAAACGGAAAATAGAGCCGGGTGCCGTTTTCCGATGGGCACGCACTGAATATCAATTGAATTGAAAAGATGCTGATACGACAGAAAGTTATCCCGCTAAGCGGTAAAGTTGTGTTCATGCATATGGGAAAAACATCCCGGTCACCGAGATCTGGCTTGTCAACAAGCGAGATCTCGGTACACGGGAAAACTTTTTGTCTCATATGAACGCAGTGTAACTTTTCATATTATTTTCATACCAAGGCAAGATCTCGTTTGTAAACTTGTCGAAAAGTTTTCTCGCTAACCGGGATAACTTTTGCCCATATGAGCTGGCTACTTTTCTAGTATTGAATTGTTTTTCCCCTCGATTTTCGGCTCATATAATACTCTTCTTCGTTCCAATAAATATAAATATATAATTCTATTTCTGTCCGACGTATTTATTCTTTAAAATATACCGTCGTAAACGGAAAGTAGAGGTGCCGTTTTCCGATGGGCACGGTGCCTATCATAAAAGTGTGTTTACAAAATGTTGTCGTGTAAACGAGTAAATAGCGAAGTGGCGGTTTTGGCACGGTGCCCATTTTCAGGGGTGCCGTGCCCAAAACGCTTGTCGTGTAAACCGGCCTTGTGTTAGCGCATCGCATGCTCAGAGCTAAACCATGTGCATTCGTGGATAACGTTTGTATTTGTGAGTAATACTTGTATGTTTATTGGGAATTACGAAAACATCTCCTGAGGATCACGGCACGCTTTTAGCCTTTCACGCTTTGCGTCTGAGGTTCACGACTTGTATTCTTGTCTATTGCACCGTAGCTCGTATGTCGTCATTTTCAGGTCAGTGTGAACGCCTGAGCAGGCGTCTTGTTACTATTAGTTACGTACCACAAGATGTGGCACTCATCAGATATATTAGCCTTATGACTACAGCAAAAAACCTACAGTTAGATGTCTTTATTACAAATGTCCCAAACTATTGGAAATCTGTTAAAGTTGTAAAAAGCTTGGTGAGATCCGACCATGATATGGTTATCACATACCCCCGAAACAGAGTTAAAGCAACAAGGACAAATTCCTATTTCAGAGATGTGAGACAACATCATCAATTGAATATGCTTCGTGAATTTGAATCTATTGATTGGAACACGATAATTATGAATAGCCATAACCTAGATGAGATAACCCTAAAATTTTATGAAATAATATGGCCAAAATTCGATAAGAGCTTCCCACTAATTAAGGTCAGAACGTCATCACGCGACCCTCCGTTCATGTCTCCTCTTGTGAACCACCTTCTGAATCAAAGGAAAAGAGCCATACAAAACGGAAATACTGAAGCAAATACACGATTGCAAGAAAAAATCAACAAGTTAATTCGGGAAAATCAATTAAGTGCAGTCAAACAGGAGTTTGGCAACCAGAAAACTGGATCGAAAAGTTGGTGGTCTAACGTAAATAGCATTACATCGAGAAAAAAGAAACATGATGTATCTGTAAGTGCTTCTCTTAACCCTAGTGAAATTAACAAATATTTTCAAAGTGTGAATACAGACCCAAATTATACGACTCCCGAGCCTCTTCAAATCTCCGAAGGAACAAGAATTCCCTCGTTGTCAATTCATAAAGTTCAACATCTTTTACGCAATCAAAAACGCTCTTCATCGGGTCCGGACAATCTGCCATATTGGTTTTGGAAATCGTTTGCTATTGAATTAGCTCCTATTGTCACAGAAATTTTTAACATGTCACTAAAAACCAGCAAAGTACCTCAGAAATGGAAATCCGCTAATTTATTACCACTCCCTAAAGAATCACCATTAAATTCGTGCAACCAGTTAAGACCAATCTCTCTGACGGACATCATCATGAGACTATTCGAGAAGTGCGTGTATAAATCTGAAATCGAACCTATCACAAGAAATAACATTGGTCCTGACCAATTTGCTTATAAAAAGGGTCACAACTCGACTATGGCTCTGATTAAATCCCAACATCAATGGCTAGAGTGGCTGGATAAAAACGCTAATTATGTTAGAGTGCTGTCGTTCGATTTCAGCAAAGCATTTGACAGTGTGCCCCACGATCTTTTGTTTGAAAAAGTTAAAAAGCTACCCATTAATCCGTATGTGGTGAACTGGTTAATCAGCTTTCTAGAAAATAGAATACAAAGAGTAATGGTTGATGGAATGGTTACAGAATATTTATATATTAATCGTGGTGTCCCTCAAGGTACTGTTTTAGGCCCAGTTCTTTTCTCAATAATGGTTGATGATATTAAAACTGCTGATCCTAGTAATGCGTTAGTCAAATTTGCTGACGATTTGACGTTAGGAGTGCCGGCAACGAAAGTGGTGACACATCTCGATCTGAAGCTGCCTGTTTACAGGATTGGGCGGAAGAGAATAGAATGCCCTTAAACTTGGAAAAAACGTACGAAATGGTTGTTCGCAGACACACCTCTGTAGTTTTGCCCGAGCTTATCCCTTCAATTAAGCGAAAAACATGGCTAAAGCTTTTAGGAGTTACTCTACAAGATAACCCGTGCAACTGGGATTTGCACTTTGAAGAAATGCTCAAAAAAGCAAGTGGACGAATGTACATTATGAGAGTTTGCAAATACTATGGACTATCAATTAAACAATTAGATCTGCTGTTTGATAGCCTAATTATGTCGATATTCACTTTTGCTATTGAGCTGTGGGGTTGTGCATACGACGGTAAATATTTGAACCAAATAGATAAATTCATTAAACGTGCACATAAGAATGGTTATATATCAAAACGAACACACATTAAAGAAATACGTGATAAGAGAGATAAGAAACTGTGGAACAAAATAACATCAACTGAGGACAATGCATTGCTTGAACTGCTGCCGGAAAAAAGAAGTAGGTTACTTAGGCCTAGAGGGCATGAGTATGAACTCCCCCTAGTGAGAACAGAAAGATTCAAAAGGTCGTTCATAAATCGTTGTCTGTATAACTTTGTTTAGTAATCTATTTAGACTTTAATCTATTAAAAACTTTTTAAAACTTTTTACGCTTCTTAACTTACAATTGTAAATATAACTAGATCAATTACCTTTCGATTGTAAACTCAGACGGATGTATCTGAGTATTTTAATAAAGACTATTATTATTATTATTATTATTATTATTTATGGGGTGTAGTTAAAAGGCGGGCGCGGTTGGCGGACGCGGACCGGCGGACGCGGACTGGCGGACGCGGACGCGTGGACGCGGACTGGCGGACGCGGACTCGCGGACGCGGACCCGCGGACTGGCGAAAAATATTTTTTATAAACCTGCAACATCATGCAGTTGAGCGATTTAGTAAAGAAAAAAACCGACTAAATGTATATCAACTATGTATGTATGTAAAACTTTATTTCAATACGCTAACTTCGACAATTATTTACAACTGGTTTCCACGAAGGGCGTATACACACAAAGAGCTAAATGTTAATTATATATAGAACAAAATATGTAAGAATCCCACCCTAAAATATTATCATCTTCCTCCCAAACCTCCACCCCCTAAACAAGTACCCACCCACCCTCACGCAAAACTAACCCCCCTCCCGCCCACAATCTATATTGTCCTCCCATCATTTGGTCCTGGAGAAATTAGCTTATCATCTGCTTAAATGCAATTTCGCCATTGTTTTAAATGACGTAATTGACTCAGCCGCCTTGACATCTTGCGGCAGACTATTCCATAGAATTGCTCCACTGTATCCAAATGTTTTCTTTAGAAATTCCGTTTTCGGTTTTTTTAACGAGAGATCAGTTTCGCTATTGCGTAAATCATAAATATTCTGCGATGCATTTCTCCGAGAAAAAAGATCTTTAAGGTTTGGCGCAGTGTGGTTCCCCAAGACTTTATACATCAATACTAGCTTGTTTTGTTCTCGTCTCCTAGCCAGGGTTTCCCAGCCTAATTTGTTTAGGACTTCAGACGATCTTACATCGTAGTCAGCTCCGGTAATCACCCTTGCTGCTCGATTTTGGAATTTTTGCAATTTGTCTTGAAGTCCCAAACCACAGTTATCCCACAGGGGAGAACAGTAATCAAAATGAGGCTGAATTAATGTTTTGTAGACATCATGTAAGGTTTTGTGTGGAACATAAGGTTTTATTCTTTTAATTGCTCCTATTCCAGCGCTAATCTTATGGCATACAGAATCAATATGTTTCTCCCAACTTAATTTTTCATCTAGATTTACACCTAGACATTTAAATGTATTGGTTTGTGGGACTGGGATTTTGTTAATCTCAACGGCTCTATTTCCTATTTTATGATTTAGATTATGCGTAGATCCAATAAACATGACTTTTGTTTTTTTCCTATGATATTTTAGTTTGTTTTTAGCAAGCCATTTATGAATACTGGAAAGGTCCATATTCAAATTGTCAATCAATGTATCGTAATCATGCGAAGAGGAAGATATCTGAGTGTCGTCGGCATAAAGACATGGGGTTGTCCTTTCTAGAATATCAGGCATATCATTAATATATAGCAAAAACAATAATGGACCAAGTATGGATCCTTGCGGAATTCCGCATATTATTGTTCTTGCAGAAGAAGTTTGATCATTAACAGAACACACTTGCTTTCTATTCCTTAAGTATGATTGGAACCATTTTAATTCAATGTCGTGAATTCCAAACTGGGTTTTAAGCTTCTCCAATAATATCTCGTGATTCACCGAGTCAAATGCTTTACATATATCAAGAAAAACAACTCCATTTATTTTGCCTTCATCCATGTCTTGTAGCCATTGATCACACATTTGTATAAGAGCACCTAAGGTTCCATGTTTTGGTCTAAACCCGGATTGAAATTTAGACAGAAGCGCATGTTTATTCAAAAAGCTATATATTTGAGTAAAACTTCCCCTTCAAATATTTTACTTATTATGGGAAGAATTGAAATTGGTCTATAATTTTCGCATTTACGCTTATCCTCAGATTTGTAAATTGGTATAACTCTAGCCAATTTCCACTCATCTATATAAATACCAGTTCTAATCGATAGGTTAAATATAAAAGTTATAGATGGAGCAATAAGGGTTGATGTCAGTTTTAAAATATTCGCAGGTATTCCATCCATACCTGTCGCTTTTGAGACATTTAGTTTTTGTAGGCGTTTGGAAACACTATCTATAGTAATATCTGCGAAGTGAAAATTTTCTTTAGGAAGAAGCACAGTACTTTCATAAATTACTTGATCATTTAAAGCATCAGTGCTTTGACATGCTGATTCAGCAGCCATCTTCATTCCAATATTTATAAAATATTCATTTAATGTTTCAGTAATAGATTTATCATCAGAAATAATATCATCATTTACTTTCAGTTCATTAATATTTGCATTCTTATGCTTTCTTCCTAAGAGCGAATTTATCCAAGCCCATCCACTTTTACTGTCTCCCATTTGAGAGCTTGCCTGGATTTTATCACAAAAGTACTTAGATTTTGCTTTCCGCATGTTTATATTTACTTCATTACGTAGTGTTTTATACAATTCCCACTGTGACTCCGAATCATATTTTATGGCCTTTTTTTTGTGATAGTCCCTTTTTCTCATAAGTTCTTTAATTAATTTGAGGATTAATCCATGGGACAGGGTTATTCCTTATTCGCTTGTGGCGCAGAGGGGCATGTCTATTAAGTGCATCTAATAATAGTGATTTCCAGACTTGCCAACATAAATTGGGATCTCCAAACTGATAGACCATCTCCCAAGGCAATTGAGACACATCCCGAATGAAATCATTTTCGACAAAGTTTTTAAAGTTACGAACCTGACGAATTTTTTGCCTTCCATTCGGTAGTGTAAATTTTCTCTATAGTATATACATATATATATATATGCAAAGCATCTTACCTTCAAATGACGAACCACGGTATAAATAATGAAAAAACGGCTGAAAACTAACAGGTTTGTGTTCCTTTTTCGAACGTCATCCCGATACAAGTGAGGCGAATGGTGTCACTAAATGGTGTCCTTTTTCTCAACTGCACATTAGTGTAAAAGCATGCGGTGATGGTTCATACAGATAGCGGACGGTCAAAAAGAAATCTGGACTTTAATTCCTCACAACGCCCTCATATTGAGTGATTAGCGGGACAAACGTTGTCATTGAGACTTTACATGCAACAACCACCCACATGCACCCTTCGGCAAGTATTGTAATTGCATTGCCTGCACAAGCGCTTTGAAAGTGAAAGCATATTAATCGAACAACATCATTTTTCTCATTTTATAGTGACGTGTTTTTAGGTTAACTTTTTTTTAGGTTAACTTTTGTTTACATATTAAACAAGGTATATTCGTATAAACTTGTATGACATGTTCGTTTCAATCCAACCAGCTGTTTCTTATCTCTTGAAGGTGATAATTGTCCACTAAGTTCGAAATTAGAAACGTCAGTACATTAAGATTAGGAGCGACCAGGAAACGTTTATTTCCATATGTCAATACTGCTTGTTTAAAAAGACAGCAGGCATATTTTGTAGCGTCCTTGGTGCAAACGCCAACAAGAATCAGAGAGATTCTGACACAAGATCACATTTTGCATATAAGAGAGTTTGGTTTACTAGTTTAGAAAGTTCTTTATGCAACAGTTATCGAAAACGCAAGTTGTTTTCCGGTTTTCCATGTATAAAGTTCTGATTATTGATACAGTATTGTTAGTTTTAAAATTATTAAAGGACCATTGTTACGTTATGTATTGTCTATATTTTCCCAACATGAGAGCGCTCAGTATGGCACCCTTGTTTAATCCAACCAGCTGTTTCGTATCTAGCTTCAAGGTGATAATTGTACGTTACTTGAAAGTCAGTACGTGTATTCAGACTAATATGCGTTGCGAGCATAATAACATAGAAACGTAATCAGTTCTGTCTATGCGTTGCGTTTACCGTATAGAAACACAGCTGTAGCCAAGGAAAAAAACGACGAAAGTTGCAAATGATTGGGCCATTGGTACAGGGCTTCAACTTATATATTTTCTTAGTTAATTGGTAGCATTGCACTTCCAGATCAATGCACTCTTGCGCATTATAGTTAACAGTAGTTTAAAAATTACAATATTTTATTCAAAACTTTACATATTCTATTCGTATCTATTCTATCCTCCGCACTCTCAACGCCACTGAAAGGAAAACTGGTTTTCGTAAGATTTTAATCATCACGACCATCAATATCCAAATTATCGTAATGCTTTTGACAGCCGCGTTTTATCGCGCATCAGTTTTCTTTCCGGTCTTCAATCGACTGCACGCAGACTGACACTCATAGAATACACTTAAAAGTTGTTATGTAGTTCGCCATGATACTATTACAGTGTTACCGAAAGTTAAAGTACACACTAAGTCGAATACAATGTGATTGGACGCTTTCCTTAAAATATTTGATCCTGTATGAATAAATCGAATTCTGGTGTCAACGCGTGACACGAGATTATTAAACAATTATTGAATTCGGTTGTCGCATGATGTGAAGGAGAAAAAATTATATTATTAATGTAATATATAATATTATTATTAATTACATAGGTGATTATTGAAAATTCTCCACTCTGATTGGTTGCCGTTGAGGTGATTATAACGCACCTAAGCGATTTTCGAAATGGCGGCCGAAGCCGTTTTGTCAATTAACTGACGAAGAAATGTGTATTTTTTATTTTTTCCCAAATAATCACCTGTGAAACTATACTAAAACAATTATTCACCTCAGGCTTGGGGATCATCGTGAATAAATTATTCACCGATAATCACCTCGCCTTCGGAGAATAATTGTTAATTATTATTAATAATAATATTAATATATATATTATTATTATTAATAATAATATTAATATATTAATATTAATATTTAATTATTATTAATAATAATATTAATATTTTTTTTAATATTAATTTATTTATAATTAAATTTATTTCCAATAATTAAAAAATTGGTAAAAAAAATATTTTCGCCAGTCCGCGAGTCCGCGTCCGCCAGTCCGCGTCCGCGAGTCCGCGTCCGCAAGTCCGCGTCCGCCGGTCCGCGATCGCCGATCGCCCGCCCAGCACCGCTACACCCGTTGGCAGGAGCCGATATTGCGCTGATAACTGTGATAGAATCGATATCAGATGACTATCACATTGTCATTGAGCATACATAGGAGAAAACAATAATAAAATTGAAAAATTTCAGTAGGAAATATAGGAACAAGAAGCCGATTTTTAATGACAATTTATATATCTTGCAATTTAAAAAAGCCATATTATAATTCACATTATTTTGAGAAATGTTTCAAACTTTGAATTTTTACCCGGAAGAAGGTTGAACATATTTGCAACTCTGTACCAACACGAGTTGAGTTGGTTAGAGCGCTGCACCGGAATCGCAGGTTCGATATGAGATTTAACCCTTCAATGCTTTCAATACTTTCCGTGTATATAAGAGTCGCGAGTTACCTTGGGCTTGGTCGATTTACAATGAAATTGCCTCTATAATATTGCCAACGTTTTGTGAAAAACGGATGTACATACACGATATTGCATGTATACTATTTCTGTCCATTTTATCTCTTTCATCGCATTCCTGTCTAAAAAACCTGCCTTATTCACTGATTACTTGATACTGGCCAGCATGTTAAAAAGGCGAAGGTAAATCACTCCAAAAGTCTCTCACACTCAGTGATGAAAAGTTAAAGTCCGAAGAGTAAAAGTCCGAAACTGGTCCAAAGTCTGTAAAAGTTCGAAAAAGCATGTAAATATGTATGAAATATATCCTTTAAAAGCACGATAAATACCATTGAAATCTAACTAAAATAACTACTAAATTTAATGAATATCCCCGAAAAACTGAGAGTATATAACGGAATTGATGTATGTTCTATTGAATAAATACGTGATCTATATCTTGTAATTTTATCCTTGAGACTAGAATATGGTTTCTGAGAGGTTTGCCCCTAGAAAAAATCTATAAATAGGCAACTGCATATTGATTATTGGCATCTACAAAAATAAATAGGTGAGTCTTGCTGAGTCTCACTGGGCACTTTCGTGCTGCTTAGAAACGCTGGTTGAAGCCTTCAAACATTTATAAGGGGCTGTTCATATGAGTCGCGCCACCCCGAGACGAATCGTGTCACTGAACTTTATACTAGAGACCTTACGATTTTAGGACGGCAACGAGACGACGACGGCCAAAACAAAGTCCTTCAAATAAATTGTAGTAAACATAATTCGTCGTATATTATCAATCGTGTGAATTTAATACAGTCTTAGAAGTTGAAGACATGGGTTTTATGGTTGGGAAGAGTCCTCCTGAACCCAGTTTGAAGTTGCACTTGTTGTGGCTTGAAATGCAGCCGTTGTATCAAGACGGAAAATCTGTGATTTGGCGTTGTAAACAGAGCGAGGACAAGTCTAAATTATTCATATATTGTAATTATTCAATTCTTTTCAATGATCTGTTGTATTGGTAGCCGTTGCCGTCGCGATGCCGTCCTAAATCGTAAGGTCTCTACTGCAGGAATCCAGCTCGTCCCCGACACGGGAGAAACACGCGTGGGCGAGAGGAGGAAATTCCTTCGTGCGCTTTCAGAGCTGCGCGTCGCAAACCCCACGCACGTACTGGAGCCTGGGGACGAGGCTTGCAGGAATCAAACTCATTCTCGTACCCAGAGCCCTTCTTACGCGCGGTGTGACGAGGGGCTCTGGCCAAATCCATATCCGAACTGGCATCTGATTGGCTAGTTCTAAAACCGGATATTGTTTTCTTACCATGTTTTTATGGTATCCGGTTATGGATTTGGCCAGAGCCCCTCGTCGCACCGCGCGTAAGAAGGGCTCTGGGTACGAGAATGGAATCAAACTAAGCCAATATGAACAGCCCCAAGTATGTTAAAAATATATACGCCTCGTGTACATGTCAATTGCATTGAGTATACAGGTATTTCAAATTAAGGTTGTCATAGTCAATTGTAGTGTACATTCCAAGCAAGTTGGGTATATGGCTATTTTTTATATTTTAACTGTTTAGGCATTAGATAGCTTACGACCATAGCTCCTTTTTGTTTTGGAAATTCCCAGGGGTATACTTTTGCATAATTTCCTGGGTTTGTTTGTAATTTATCGGTGACAACATGTGCAGAAAGCGACAAAAGGTTGAAGTTTGTTAGTAAAAAGCGGTCCTATATTACTTCTATCAAGAAAACAGTCCTCCACCTAAGTCTGGGTTGTCAACCTAAGAACTATGCATCACAGTTTTGCTATACGAAGCGGTTGTACATGTTTTAGTGAACTGTATCACTTGTAAATATAAAAGTGCTCACCACTTGCTAATCCCACAAGGCGTGCTGGCTACAGTATAAAATTCGTCGGCGTTATCCAGCAATGTCACAATTTAGATCATAGATCAGGCAAAAACGTAACTATTATGTATATAAATGGGTGCCATATAAGTGTTGCGAGGATGTCATGAATCATGTACTGTATAACCTAAAATACTGTATATATATATTTGTCTGTTTTTAGTGTACGCAAAACAATGTCAGCCTGCATTTCAAAAGTTTCAATTTAGCTCAGCTAGCGCAAGGCCACGAGAATGTCACTAAGAAACACCGGATATTCCTTAACTCCGGTCTGAATGTCGCAGGCTAACTGAAATCCCCAATTTCATTAAATTGCCGAATTTTATTTGCCCCATACCCATTATACTGTTCGCGCTTGGATTGTATTATTTGACTATTGCTTGAGACAATCTCAATTGAAATAGCTGTATATTCGCATCGACAACAAACTATTTTACAAATCTTCATGCCTGCCAATATCAGCATTTTCATCATCATCGTCCTCAACATCACCTTCGTCTTTAAAATCGTCTCCACCATCATCATCACCTTCACCATCATCTTCGTCACCTTCACCATCATCTTCATCACCGTCACGGGGAAACAGTTCCATCAGTTCCTGCTCATATTCATCTAATGAAGAACCTGTAACCTCTTCTGGTGATATCAGAGAGTCTTCATTCGTGTCGATCTCTTTGAATATCTCTTTTAACTATGAAACAAGAGAATGACACTAACAGCTCAATTTATAGCGTATCAATGCTTTAATGGTTAAACAGGTATTGCTACAGCTTTCTGACACAATTATTCAGCTATCACTGCAAAGAAATAGTGAAATCCATACAATGGAATTTGCAATGGACCTTTCCCCTTATAACTAAAATTTTGATCTAGACAACTCTAGACAAAAATGTCATTACAGCTTGAACGAGCATCACAAAATTAGTAATATTCCAAAGTTTCGTTGCGAAATGTTGTAAAATGCGGATAATATAGCCCTGCGAAATTTGCAATTTTCAGCAATTTTTTTCAATTTTCAGCCCCAACACCCGATTGGGCTGTCCATTTCCCATGCGTAATACAAAATGACTGAAAAACGGCAAACTTCGCAAGGCTATATTATCCACATTTTACAACATTTTATTAATTATTACTAATATTGTGATGCTCTTTCAAGCTGTGATGAAATTTTTGTCTAGATCAAAATTTTAGTTATAAGGGGAAAGGTCCATTACATCACTAAATCCATAGTATATCCATACTATTTCCATACTATATCCATGGTATGGAAATTGCAATTAGTATGAAAAAATGGATTTCCATACTATTTCCAACGAAGATCCATGCAAATCCACAATAATAATTTTGAAAAACAATTTCCAGTGTATCATCTAAAGGCTTTCAAAAAAGGTATTGGAGGGGGTGGGGGCCTCGTCATGCCTAGCCTGCAAACAGGCTCTCAAGCTGAATTGAGAGCCTGCATCGATGACTAATGAATTTGAATATCTGCCCCGTAACGTTCGTTTTTCCAAATATGGAATGTCTATCCTTATATGGTGTTGTTTACAACTTTCGTGCAAACTAAATTTAGACCGTGCAAACTAAATTTAGACCGTGCAAACTAAATTTAGACCGTACAGTTTATACTGTTTTTCGAAATATAAGATATTCAAGCAAAAGTTTAAATGTTTTAAATACTGTTTTCTCAAAACAGAACATTTCGTGCTTTGAGATAAGACGGGCAAGACCAATTTGATCAGTTAATGTGTTTTTTATGCATAGTGCTTCAGCAGTTGACATATATAGAGCTCAGCGGAAACATATAAATTATAACATCTGACCAATGAGAATTTCGCGTCACGATTTGAGACGCAGATATTCAAATTCATTAGTCATCGATGCAGGCTCTCAATTCAGCTTGAGAGCCTGTTCGCAGGCTACGTCATGCCCCCCTCCCCCCTCCCATAATGTCCGCCACTGACTACACAGATTTAAACGAACACAGTTTATCAGTTGAGATAATGAATCAACTGATAAAGATACCGTGATAATATTATCAAAATTTATCTCTTTATGTTTTGAGAAGAGATCTAAATGCCTTGAAGCTCGGAATGCTGACAGTCAATAGGCTATCTAGACTATCTAACTAACTCCCAAACTTCTTCAATTACATATATACTGTAAATAGAGTACTCATTTGTAAACTAGGTCTTTCTTTATATCAAATTGTATTACTCACAGTGTCATATTACCACAAAACTAATAAGCATTAGCAATACTTCTACGTAAAGTCATGCTAATAAAGCCATTTGCTGCTGTTACTGACTTGACAGTAACAAATTCAACATACACACAGAAAAAAGTAAAGATTTATTATGTCCATCCGCCATAGTTTACTCCCAATTCGAATGACTCACCACTTCAATTCCTTCTCCCTTCATCAACTTTTCACTATTCCACAAATTCTACATAAAAAGATAAGGTATAATAAGATCACTGAATGCAACAGGGCAGATATACGACTTTTTATTTCAAAAACAATTCCTTCCGACCTTGATAATTTCCAAAAATTTCTCTTCATCTATAGGCTTCTGTTCCATTTCATCTAACAGTAATAATCTGAAACATGAATCAACAATTATATCGGCAGATTGCACCAGATAAGTGTTTAACATGCAGTTATTATTTTAAAAAAATTGGTTAAAACAACCAACAAATTGATTGTCTCAGATTCATTCTGAATAACCAATTTTTGTTTTAACCAATCTGTTTTTGCAGTGTTAGAATGAGAAAATAATGTCAATAATTTTTGTTTTATGTATGTAGTAGTCGTACATTTGATGGAATTGGTGAAAACTAAATAGAACTAGTACTTAAACCTTCATGCTCAATTAATTTATGAAGAACAACTATATATAACTCTATGACGACTTACGGTAAACCTGGTCCTAGGCTTTCAGTGACTTCGAATTCAGAAAGTGGTGCAAATTGTTTATCTTTATAAGGACTCTCTTCGCAATCAGTTGAGTTAAATTCTAGTTTGTGAGCGAACCAAATATTGATCGCCAAATTCCTTGGTCCATACGAGCGAACTTGGTGGAACCATCTTAAAAACAAAAAGAATAACAACAATTTAATGAAATGTTCCTTAGTTTACAAGTTAGTAAATGACATCTTTTTATTCTTGGTGAAAACCTAGCTAATATATAAACATGTTTTCACAGTAGTTATTTGGTTCAGTGGTTATGTTTTGTTTAATTAGCCTGCTTGTTTGGGACTGCGAGCAAGCTACGTTTTTATTCTTAGTTTTGTTTTTTATTGTTGTGTTGTGTTGTGTTGTGTTGATGTTGCTGTTGAGGCTGTTGCTGTTGTTAATTGATGTCGTCGCTGTTGCTGCTGTTGTTGCTGTTTGTTTGTTATTGCTACTCTGTCAGTTGTCATTGTTGCTGCCTTGCTGGAGTTGTTGGAGTTGTTGTTGGAGTTGTTGTTGGAGTTGTTGTTGGAGTTGTTGTGGGAGTTGTTGTGGGAGTTGTTGTGGGAGTTGTTGTGGGAGTTGTTGTGGGAGTTGTTGTGGGAGTCGTCGTCGTTGTTGCTGCTGCTGCTGTTGTTGTTGTTGTGGTTGCTATTTGTTTGTTATTGCTGCTCCATCATTTATCATTGCTGCTGCCTTGCTGTTGCTGCTGTTGTTGTTGTTGTTGTTGCTGTTGCTGTTGTTGTTGTTGTTGTTGCTGTTGCTGCTGTTGTTGTTGTTGTTGCTGTTGCTGTTGTTGTTGTTGCTGTTGCTGTTGCTGTTATTGCTGTTGTTGTTGTTGTTATTCCTGTTGTTGCTGTTGTTATTCCCGTTGTTGTTGCTGTTGTTATCGTCGTAATTGTCACTATTGCCTCTCTCATACCTATAAGGAATAAACAGACAATCACCAGCTTCCATATTTGCTTTGTACCAAGGAACATCAGCTAATCCTGGGTATTTCTGAAGATCAACTTTATCCACGTCAACTTTGGAAAATGATCCATCTGGTTTGTCAATTAGAACATGCGCATGTTCTTTCTGAAAAACGAAAATAAGCATAGTTCTACTACAGTTATCTACTGTGCTCAAAATTTCCAACTACAAATCCCTTTAACTGAAACAGTAAAGTCTACAGTGGTGTCCCGAGAGTAACGAAGTAAAAATGTACTTCGTTACTGTACTTGAGTACTATTTTTGAGAAGTGAGCATGTAACAAAGTAAACTTTCTCTGGAGTACTTTTACTTGGAACGAAGTCTTTTTAAGAAGTAACGTTTTACTTCGTTATTTTCATTTTGTGGCGAAGTATTTCGTTACTTTCTAACTGTTGTTTAATTTTACGTGATTTATTCCCGATTTATTTTAATTTTGGGATAGGTAATAGGACCTCTACATGCGTCTGGGATCTCGCTTTTGTGGCAAACTTATAAGCATTATTTATTTAATGAATTCAACGGGGTCTGGAAAGTAGACCATGCATGCCGTGAAATATTGTATATTAGGTGCACGCATATAACGCGTGTGCTTTTTTGTGTCTTTTGTATGTCAATCCATCGGAGAAGTCCCCCCCCCCCCCTATACACGCAACAGAAATAGTACTTTTACTTTTTACTTCAACTCTTCAAGTATTTCTTAAGGATACTTTGTACTTTTTACTTAAAGTACGTTTTGCCTCCAGTACTTTTTACTCTTACTCAAGTCGTTTTATTGTTAATTACTTTCTACTTTTACTCGAGTACAAATTCAAAGTAATTTAGGCACCACTGAAAGTATATTTACCTTATGGACCATAAAAAGTTCCTTCGTACCACTCATGAGACAGTTGATGTTATCAATAGCATCATAATGGAGCACAGATTTTGTACCGCCATTACTGAACCACATGACGCTGTCCTGAAGTTCATCGGTAAATCCACCACATAACAAACATTTTAACAAGTAAATATCATCTAGTGTGAAATGAGAAAATGTTCTCAAACAAAGTTCTTTAAAGGAAGAAATAATTAAGAGAAGAGAGAGGAAGACGTGGAACATTTAAGTTATTTATTTACGTGCTATTTATTTGTTAGGGTTTTGTTTTGTAAAATGCAACTATAGTATAGGCCCTTTGGATAAATATTAAGATTTTGATGGCATCTCACTCGATTGAATAATAGTTGAAGGGTATTGTAGATGGAAATTATCAAGTGGAAATTCTATATAAAATCGTTAGACCTAATGCAAAAAATGTAACTTTAGATCATTGGCAGGAATGGAACCTGCGGACCCGCGGTTCTGGTGCAGCGCTCTAACCAATTGAGCTACAGAGGCCAGTTGTCAAGCTCTAACCACAAGTTCATGTACATTTTCTAGGGTACTGCCAACAGCACCGTAGTAGACGCCAAAAGATCTTGATATTTAGTATTATTTACCCATAACCCAACATATGGCAGTACCCTAGTATATATACATTAACTTGTGGTTAGAGTTCGACATCTGGACTCTGTAGCTCAGTTGGCCAGAGCACTGCACAGGAATCGCAGGGCAGCAGGTTCGTTTCCTACCAGAGCTGGGCCTGTAGTTGCATTTTTCGCAAACGCTCCTGGTTAGGTCGTAAATTGTACATAATCTTACACTAGAAAATTCTATCCACAAACTGACTCTTCAACTGTTATTTCTATGGGACAGGATGCCCAAAAATCTCGAAATTTACTTTTTTACTTTTTACAATTTATCGTTGTCAACTCATGCCTTAAATCTTAATTATGACAGAAGGAGAATAACATATACCTCTCATTATCTTTGGTACAGAAGCAACAAGATATATATCTTTTTCTTTGTAAGATTTCAAAAATTCCCCAAGAGGCATGTTGAAAAGTTCTCTCGAACGATTCTCCTTCTTTCCTTCCTCCACATCAAACTTCACTTCGCCAAACTTCGAGCTTAAAATTTAAGAAGTGTTTCGAAAATATGCATACAGCAGGCCCGTAACTAACTAGGAGTCAACAGAGTCAGTTGACTCGGTAAGATTGTTTTTTTGAAAAAATTCAAAACAGCAAGACTTCAAGTTTAGAGAAAACAGACCCTGAATGAAGGGTAGAAGTACGAATTAGCGTCCAAAATATTACCACAAACACTTTTTTTATTATGCACCTGAGTTGGTTCGAGTATCTCTGTATCTGATAACTGGAACTGAGTCTAGTTCCTTTGATATCAATTGGTTTTTGAAGGTTTTTGGCATTATTATGATATAGGTTCATGACTTATAGAACAAATTAAACAGTCCACCACGACTCAAAGTAAATTTTTTAAAAATGTAAACTACATTTTCGGGTGCATGCCATGGCTAGTGCCAGTACTCTCCCCTCAGTGGTGGAAATCTCGGTGGGAGGGGGGGGGGGAAATGACAAAGTTTTAGAAATTTTGACCTAAAAGAGGACTAAAAACAGCCTTTTCGCATGAAAATGGGGGGGGTTGTCAAAAATTTGAAAGTTTTGTCGGAAATTTAGGAGGCTTTGCCCCCCCCCCCGGGACAGAAAAAAGTGAATTTCCACCACTGTCTCCCCTTGGTGAGTGAAACCATCCAGTAATATTCAGAATAAAATAAAAAAGTAGTAGGGCACATGATTAGAATGTAATGCCAGTTAAAAAGTTAACAGAATGAAGAACAGAATGAAGTCTGATGAAGTATTAAGTCGATACCTTAAATAATCATCAGTCCAGAGCTCATAAGCTGGCGTTTTAGTTGCTGCTCCTTTAAAAACGACTGGTTTTCCAGGTTTAACAAACTGGTCGAAAAATTCTTGAGGTGACGGGATTTCAGTAAGTGTCAACACGTCTCCAACAGGTGGGACTTGTGATCCAAGGGGTTGCAAATGACCAGTCAGGTCGCCGTTAGTAGTTGAACAAAGGGTAAATAAAAGTGGGATGAATAAACAAAAATTCTTGCCTGACATCCTTTCTTCAAGCCTGAATTTAAACAATCCTGTGATAATATTTGTCATTAGTGGTAAATAGAGAGTTAGTTGGTTAACAGCTTAGAAACACACCCAATGTACTAGAATACACTTATTAATTTGCTGATACCCAAGCAGAAGGTGGTACTCACATACTGTATTAATCCTTCATTAATTAACCTACTGAGCGCTTAATGCTCTCCAGGGGCTAGCCTGCGAACAGGCTCTCAAGCTGAATTGAGAGCCTGCATCGATGACTAATGAATTTGAATATCTGCCCCGTAACGTTCGTTTTTCCAAATATGGAATGTCTATCCTTATATGGTGTTGTTTACAACTTTCGTGCAAACTAAATTTAGACCATGCAAACTAAATTTAGACCGTACAGTTTATACTGTTTTTCGAAATGTAAGATATTCAAGCAAAAGTTTAAATGTTTTAAATACTGTTTTCTCAAAACAGAACATTTCGTGCTTTGAGATAAGATGGCCACGACCAATTTGTTACTATACCTCATATTTGTAAATATATATTTATGTAATTTTTCTTATGCATGACACGCCCCTATGGAAATCAGCTTCGGTTGATAGGGTTAGCGTGGGTAAATAAAGTTTTTCTATCTATCTATCTATCTATCAGTTAATGTGTTTTTTATGCATAGTGCTTGCTTAGCAGTTGACATATATAGAGCTCAGTGGAATAATATAAATTATAGCATCTGACCAATGAGAATTTCGCGTCACGATTTGAGACGCAGATATTCAAATTCATTAGTCATCGATGCAGGCTCTCAATTCAGCTTGAGAGCCTGTTCGCAGGCTATCCAGGGGCATAACCATGCAGCCCCAAATGAGTGGGGGGATCTAATCAGCAGTCTAGGGGTATCGTTCCCCATAAAATTGTCCTCAGTTTTGAAAGAATATATTACAAAATTGGTCCTGAAGAAAAGTGAGGGGGTCTTAAAGGGGGTCTCTGGTGCTCTCCCCTTGACATGCAAAAGAGTAAAAAATAAAATATAGGGTGCACTAGGGTGCATATTGCAGCCAAATGGGAAGGCTCCCAGCTAGCTAACTTATTTCAGGCACATTTGAGATGTCTAGGTTTATTGGAGAGGTAGGGTTACTAGGCAGGGGGGATTAATGTTGCTGAGCTATATTTAGTAAGAAACACAGTAATCTGACTTGAACTTCCAGCTAGTCAATAATTAATAAATCTAATCAGTACACATGTGTTTTTTGTAATAGGGTATCCTTAGAAATTTGCCAGCAAACAAAGAGTATGTCGACAACAAATGAGCAATTCGTTATTAATTAAAGGGAGGGATTTAATGTTGTCAGGTGAAGCAACTGCCATTAAATAAAGGATGGCTCAATCACAATCAATGACTCGAAAGCCCTAACTGCAGTCCAATATTTAGTAAATATATAGCACATTAATAAGTTGTAGTCAATTACGTTCTAATAATATTAATGAAGTATCACAATTCACAAACAAGCTAGGTGAAATATTTTATTGTCATTCGAGAATATTAATGTTTACAAAACAATATGTACAAAACACTATGTACACTCTTTGAGCATTTCAGTGCATTTTTGTCTTTATAAATTCATGTAAAATGCTTTTTTATAAGGAGCTAATAGTACAACTTAACATTAACAGTATATGAAACGCTTACCTGTTTCAAAGAATATTTTGTCAAACCAAAAGTTTGGTCAAATAAAAAAGTGAATGAATACTACGTGTCACAATCACATAAGTACTGACATAATTTTATGCACAGATGAGTACAAACAGGAAACATCAAAGACATTCACTAATATGTAATCAAATATAAAGAAAAATAATAAGAAAAGAAGTGTTGGAATTATTTCCGGCTTCAGCTTTTCAGAATGTTTTGGCACAGCAAGCCCAAGCTAAATAGCGAATTCAAGTGATCGAGCTCAACGATACTGACAGCAGTAACGAACAAGTTAAACCTATGGTTAAATGAACGAGCTAGTTGTTAATAAAAGGGCAATATATAGATAATAAATCTAGTGGATTCAACTAACTGAAAAATACAAGTTATCTTCGACGTTTCGAAAGCCCCTCGTTAGATACTAAAAAATCCCTCTAAATAAATCCACAGCTTTAACCCATTAAGTTGCATTGTGCGGCAATGCGCCCCAACTTTATAACTTTACTGTCTAACGCCAGATAATTTTACTCGTGAAGGGGAGACTATCTTCCCATGTGCGGTGTGCCTCGGTTGACCCACTAAAGGTTAAAAAACACCCATCCGTACCTTTTAGGAACGCTATTTTCGGAGGAATTGTTGGAAAGGAGAGATGTTCTTTCGCTCAGCTTCTGAAAGTTGTACATTCCGTATTGTCCGTATTGGATAGGTGCTTTTTCGCGCCGCTACTGAAAGCTATCCCGTAGTCTCGTCAACTCTCATCAACTCTCATGCAACTCTTGTTCTCGTTTGACCGGGGCATGAGAGTTGAGAAAACTCTCATGCGAACTCTCGCTCCTCAACTCTCATTAAAAATGATTTACTCTCATGCAACTCTTGTTCTCGTTTGACCGGGACACGGGAGTTGAGAAAAACTCTCATGCGAACTCTCGCTTCTCAACTCTCAACCTCGTTTGACCAGGACTTAAATCGAAATGGTTAACAACGCGAGCAGGTGCAATAATGTCAAGAAGTTAAATATCAGACTTTCCAGTTTTCATGGTGCTAGCGCCCTCCGCTGACATCCTCGGACCTCGCCCTTTCAGCAGACGCGTCTCTAGTTGGCCTTATAAAAAGCGAATAACAGCCATTAGAAAATCTTGATGATGTTTTAAAAAAGTTTCGACAGCCTCATAATCGTACAATTATTTACAATGACATTGAACTGTCCAGCAGTTCGACAACGGACGTGTGCTTAAAACTATTTTCAACAAAAATTCAAGTTTACCTATACAGTGGAATAAATAAATAATAAAAGTGCTTATTGCTCTTCATCGTCCACACTTTCACCTTGCTTTAGTTTTGCGATGATCTGCAAGAAAAAAGGCGAAAAAGAATTAAAGAACAGCTATTGCAGATCAAACAAAAATGAATCACTAAATTGGACAACTTGCAAGAAAGACTAAATTTTAATCTAAGTAAAGAGAAGGGAATCAAACACCACAGCTAAAAAGAACATAATGAAATTAGTATAATTGCAAAATTTGCTTGCGAAATGTTGTAAAGCTTGGAAAATATAGACTTGCAAAGATTGCAAATTTTGTATGTGTTTGTATTACGCTCGAAAATTGTTACCATTTTCGGCTCAAAAATGGTAACAATTTCCGCACGTAATACAAACATATACAAAATATGCAAACTTCGCAAGGCTATATTTTCCGTATTTTGCAACCAAATTTTGCAATTTTACTAATTTTAATAAGTTCTTTACGGGAATTTACTTTTTTTGCCTAGATAAAAAATTAGTCTAACATGCAAGTTGTCTATTGAGAAACATTCAACCTAACGAAGAACAAGGGCGTGTGCTATGGGCGAATTCACTTACTCCTTTTAGTCGGACAATTTCTTTATTTTCTGCGTTCTTCGAAGCATCGTTGGTGATCAGTTTCACTCTAGACGCATAGCTGGAGTTGAAAGAAAAAAAATACAATAAACTCAACACAAAGAAAACTAACTTTGTTTATGCTGGATAGACAAATCTGGATAGAGAGGAACAGTAAAGGCCAAACTTTATGCTAAGTTTCTTAGCTTGTAGGAGGAAACCGGGGTACCCAAAGAAAACATCCTGTGTTTGGTCATATTATATGGTTTGGTAGTCAAACTGGAGCACACTTCTCATATGTGGTTTTCTGGTTTCAAAGTACGTGTAATGTACGTCACGTGTTCCTAACAAACTGACTTACGTTAACGAAGTAACAGTTTCATCAGTGTTGTAGTCAGCAGGTGAGATGTTCACGAACATAAGAGTTTTAGCATTTCCACCTGAGAAAAAAAACAAACAGTCAATAAATTCCTGTACAAAATTACGGGCGTTTATTACTGTGGTTTCAAGACAACGACACGGTGCTGATTTCCATTCAGCTTTACCCAAATTTACTATCACATTTCAATAGACTCTTGGAACATCGCGAATACTGAATCGTGACTGGGTTGCGCTATTGTTACGCAACGGGCCCTATTTTCATGTCATACGTCAGTCACGGAAATAAGAATAGACCTTATGCATAATGACGTCACAATGCTTGATGCCCGCGAGGAATGCTGGTCTTAGTAGTCATCGCCCGGGAAAATTTCGATAGTGGCCATTTTGAATTGTTTAATTTTCCCGGGCGATGACTACTAAGACCAGCATTACTCGAGGGCATCAAGCCTTGTGACGTCATTATGCATAAGGTCTATTGCCAATGCCATATTCTGTCAAGATATGATGGTCTGGAAACTGAATAGAAGTCTTTGTGAAATCTGCTGTGTTGGTGTAATGTACTCAGGTGAATAAGATGTTTGTGTGATGTTACTCTGAGTGTATATCCACACCGGGCAGGCTTGAAAAATATGCCTGGCCACGGCGGGATTCGAACCTACGACCTTTGGAATACTAGCCCAAGTCTTTGTGTTATGTTTTTGTCTGAGCTTATGTTAATTTGTGCACAGTCACGGTGATTGAGCTCAATGTATTTTCGTAGGATTTGTTCACGTGGTGAGATGTTGTTCAGCATCAAACAAAGGTCTTCTATTTTGTGGCTTTGAAGTTTGCCTGGCTTCCAGAGACCAGGATATCTTGACAGACTATGTCAATGTTAAACAGCTCTCTCTTAGTATTTTAAACGAAAGGTAGTTAGTAGCTCAACTTGAATGATGTGGTTTCTTGTACTTCACTTGGTGGAATTAATATTAGAATGTTAGGGTTTATAATCCAAGTGATTATATCCGAATGTATATAATCACTTGGATTATAAACCCTAACATTCTAATAAGTTAGTAGCTCATCTCACCTAGCGAGTCCTGCATCAACATGGTCAACTTGTTATTACGGTATGGAATGAACGCCTGTTCACTCGATAGAGCAGATATGACGTCGCCCAGTGCACTGAGACTTTTGTTGATACTTTGAGCTTCCTGTAAGGAAAGGAAAGGAAATTTGATTTATTCAGCTCTGACCACTGTCTTTGAAAATACGAACCTGCATTAAGGGTAAATCATACTGGATTCGGACCATTTACCTTCAATTGTTCAGCACTTGCTTGTGTTTTCGATGCCCTTTCAGAACCGGCTAAATCTACCAAGCTAAGCTAAAAGAAAGAAATCATGATAAGATATTTCATTAATTTGGGGGTCTGCATGGTGTAGATATTATTCTCGAATAGAGTAGACTGCTGTGGTTTGGGTCAGAATCTTTTTCAGGGTTTTTTTCCGACCAAAAACACAACAGTTTAGTGGTTTACAATGCTGTGTAACAAGAAGAATTCCTTACCTTTCCTTTGAGAACGGAACCAGTTGTTTTGTTCGTACTTTCAATGATGATACTTAAGATAAGATGTGATCTTGAACTTTCAGAATTCATTTCTATGAAAATATTCAGAAATACATTATGACAAATATAGGAAACTATTGCTCCATTAAATCTCTATTACACCAAACCTTTATACTATTAACCATTATACTATACCAACCATTTCATATCAAACAATATTGAACCTTACCATACCATATCATACCATATTGTACCATACCATATTGTACCACACCATATTGTACTACACCATATTGTACCACACCATACCACACCATACCATACCATACCATACCACATCATATCATACCATACTATACCATACCAAGCCATACCATACCATACCATACCATACCATACCATACCATACCACATCATACCATACCATACCATACCATACCATACCATACCATACCATACCATACCAGATTAATCTACACCATACTTTACCATAGCACACCATACTGTAGCTTATCATAACACATGAAACCAAGCCACATCATAACCATATCACAATATGGCATCAAATAATACAATATCATTCTGAATTATACTTAATAGCTTAAACGATCCTCACCACACAATGCAAGAAAATGAGGACTTCCGTCCAAATTGATACCAGATTGTTCCATATTACTTACTTGTTGACGCTACATGCCGATTCTCAGAACCTTTTTCAAAAATGTCATACAGAGATTTTGAGTCCCCTGCATCGACGACATTAGCCCCGTGGACAAATACCAGCCCCTAAACAAAAACAGCAAGTGTAATTTCCAACATTATCAGTAACACGCTTTACAATTCATTGAAATCAAGTAAGCACATTATGTTGAAGAAAGGATAGCTAACTAACCTTCTTATCTTTCTTAATATCCAATTTGGCCTGTTAATTAAAATATATTTTGTAAAGGAAACATAACTGTATTCAAAGAACCAGTAAATGAAGATACAGTAGCCTGAAATTTAGGTCCAACATTGGAGAATCCATAGCAGTGTGGTTAATTTAAGCAGAATAACTATAGTACTGAAAAGGTAAAATAACCAAGAAATTTAACCAGTATTAAATTAACCCAAGGCCCACCCTTAACCTGCGAACGGGCATGCTCGGGGAACGAGATTGCGTCGGTTGCAAATTGCTCAGAGCAATCTGCCTATCAAAATTGCAATATTGTGGGACAGTTTGTTTGATATGTAAATGAGTGTGAATATGTCCGCTAATTTATAACGCCACGTTGGTTGCAAGCTCAACTTACACTGGTTATAAATGTATTAACTCTAAAAACTGTTGATATCAGTTCAAGTTTTTCTCCAGTATTTCATCACATTTACCAGTGAGTGGAGTTTGAAATTATCATCTTGGATAATAGCAGTGATATTCAAGCATTTTGAAGAGCTTGCAACCAACATGACGTCATAAATTAACGGACATATTCACATCATTTACATATCAAACAAATTGAAATATCTCGGGAACAAACCATAAAAACAAGAAACTGAAAAATAGAGTAAACTTAAAGAGTTCTTTCAATTAAGAAATTTCATGTCATATGCACTTTAAATTAAAAATTCAATTCAATTGTGTTTACGCACTCTTGTGTTCAGCATAGTGCTCAAGCATTCAAATTATAACAATAGGATAATTTCTATAGAAGGTACTTTTTTGGGACACCCGTACTGTACAGTATAATACCTTATTGAGTTCTGATCGTTTAATTGGCTGTTTACGGTCACGTGATATTGAATAGAAAATTCCATTCCCAAGAGTACAATGGAATACGTATTTTGGTCGCCTCGTTGAATGGAACATTCCATCTTTCACCTCATGAAAATATTCTTACCATTGCACTCATAAACATTCATTATTTGTATATTGGATACTGGCCTGCTAATCTTGTCATTCGCGTAAATATTATTGAAACGTTCTTGACTACAGGATGTAATCCATCGGATTGTTCTAGGGGAACTTAGCATTCATCCATTGAGCCTGGCTAAGAGGAACTTAAAGCAAAAGAACTAAATGAAAATAGGAACAAAAGCACCAAATTTTGGTTGAAAGTCTGGCAGGGACTGGGCTTTGGCGAGAGAATATGATGTTGACATTGAGAATTATCCAATTTTGTCATGCTAATAATAAACAAGTAATGATGATTATGTATACTAATTTACACAACTAGCAACTCGATATGTGTTTAATTTGGCAGATTTAAAAATCGCTTCTCATTATAAATATTCAGACTTTCAAAATTGGCTCATTGAATTCAAAAGGACACTCTATCCAGTTCTATTTTATTGCATTGTGTAACGTCGCCTTTTCCGGTGTCACAGCGGATTTGGACTCCTCGCGTATATGGACCCCCCCCCCGGTCCATATCAACCGTCTCGCTACTTCTAAATGGGTACTTACCCAATATTCTAAATTTTAGAATGCGGGTAGTACCCGTGCTAGGTACATACCTGAGCAATCCGAACCCGAACCCCCGAACACCCCCCCCCACCCGAAACTCCCCGGTCATATTCGCTAGCGGATTTGTAGAGTCCGAGGGACAGTGCGAGGTGCATTATAGGTTATCACTCGATATAAACTTGAGAAAAATCCAATAACTATAATTTGTTCCAAAAATGCAATAACTATATGTTCCAAATTTTTACACAACTAAGTAACTATTAGTGGGCATCGCCAGTTTAATCTATAAGAGATGATTTTTGACACTGAGATACACGTGATGCGTAATAGACGATTGACATGGTGAACCACTGAACCCTTAATTAAAAATTGGGAACATAGCTCTCTGCGAAGCAATCACGTAGGCCCGTTTCAGACGGCGTACTTCTCATGTGCCGAACTTAATTGATGAATTAGGTACGGCAGAAGAGCGACGTATGAATCAATTAAGTACGGCAGAATTTGGAGCGGCAAAAGTTCGACACAAGTTCGGCAGAGCTTGTCGCATTATGCGACGTTGGAGCGACGTTGATTCATACGCCGCTCCACTCATGTGCCAAACTTAACTCAACTTTAGTCTAAAAATAAACTTATTTATTTTGAATTTTATTGAGGTTTCGCTGGCGAATGCCCCCCAACCTTGTCAATAACATTGTATTTGGTACGCCGTTTGAATCACTGCCGTTCTTGTGTCGCATCTAATACAATTAAGTTCGGCACATGAAGAGTACGCCGTCTGAAACCAAACGGGCCGTACTCAGGAAAACCCTGTTCAAACCAGTTTAGAACGTTTCAAGCTCACAAGACACGCGAAACCCGCGATTAACATAACAACCAACATGCTAAGTTTACATGCATATTTAAAAATAAATATATGCATATTTAACTTAAGGTTACAATAAAGTCGCTACGCCTCAATGACGCGCATATCAGATTTCAATATAGGGCTGGTCGCAAACGTAAAGTATATGTCGATGATCATGGTTAAATTCTCGCTAAAATCCGTCGCTCTAAAATGGTATTTCTTCAGTTGTCCAGGATCAGTAATAGTGTTCATTGAATATTTCAATCTTTTTATGAAACAACTTGGTTTTAACCCGGGACAGATTGGATTGACAGCACTGTTTGGAATACAGCATCTATTCATACCACTGTGTCTATAATTGTTCGGTGAGAAATTTCGAGCAAGAAAGATTGTCACAGTATTTGGTACCTTGGGAGCATCAGTATGTTGTATGTTGCCACTTTTATCTCTGGTAGTACCAGCACTACAGCCTACATGCTATACCAAACCATACATAGCATTCAAGTCTGCTAGCAAAGCAATACAACTTAGAAACGGAACAGTGCATTTGAACTATAACTATTCAAGCTATGCAGTTCGCAGCAACAAGAAGCACTTTACATCGACAAAGTCTCTTTAAACGGTACAAAAACTTATCTTTATTAATAGTTCGGTCGATATAACAACCAATAACTCGTCTGCCTTCATGATCCACCAAACGATTTCTCATTTGCCATTGAACAACCCACTGAATACCGTGTCAGTGCATTCCAAGAATTCAAACCCTACTAGAACCCGCATAACTCATGACTCGAAACCGCACCATTCCAAACCATATTTAATATCAACCAACACTCCATCAATACTACAAGTTGCTTCGCGCCATAATGGCCAAATGTTCTCGAAGTACTCGAAGGATAAAACGCGCCTATCTGTCTCGAAGATTCACCATTCCTTAAGATTTAACAACACCTTATCTACACAACGTATGCGACAGAGTTCTACTTCTGTACACTCAAACTATTCCAGCAATCCAGCCAAACCCTCCTCCAATACTCACAATTCACAGTCTTCGCTAAGTGCTTTATTCCTAATACTGATAATCTCAAGATCTCTGACGATGTTTTTTGATCGTATAGATCTATCCTTGGCAAACCTAGCCACAATGACTTTCATTCAAGGAGGAAACGGGAGTTATGGCGTTTATCGCATGTGGACCTATTTAGCTGGCGCCATATATTAACTATGGTCTGTCGCGGTGCTAGCTTGGTACATTCGGATAAATATGTGTGGAGTTGAAAAGTATGGGTATTTCATAGCTTTTATATGGGGAGGAATTATACTCTTACTTTCGATGGTATCTCTTCCTTGGTTTAAGTTTGAGTACAACGAGAAAAAAACATTTACCTGGTCTGGAGTTAAAACTGATGTTTTTAATGCGCACTACATTTTTATGTTCGTGCTTATGTTTTATGCCGGGATGTGTTTAGTGTTTCAAAATGCCTGGGAGTTTTGGTACTTAGATGAATTATCTGCAAGCCCGTTATTAATTGCCGCTGCAGGTTTCGTGAGAAGGCCAATGGTAGCGATGTCTGTGTTTCTATCAACTCGTTTGATAAGAAAGATTGGTGAATTAAATACTGTATGTGTGGCAATGTTTCTTTATGCGTGTTCGTATTTTGCGCTGTCGTTCACAAGAGTACCTTGGTTGGTTGTTGTGATTGACACATCTCAAGCGGTTGCTCTTGCTCTCAATTACTGTGCATTCACTGCAATTTTCTACAAGGCTGCATCAAACGAAAACTCAAGTATGATCCTCGGTAAGTGGTAACCAGCGGGTCCTGATGTGACGAGACAGCATGGTCTCTTATACTCAAGAGTTACAGGGTGTATAAAAAAACTGAACAGATTTGAAATTGCTCTCAATTTCGCAAAACACCTATTTGTATCCGGTTTTTTATATATATAGCTTCGTTGGGTACTTATAATGCAGAATAATGAAAAAAATTTCTCGAACCCAAATTTTGTGAACCAGGGGGGGGGGGTGTGTCTTTTCCAACAAACTAAAAATGGCTCGCGCACAAAATTTAAAAGCTGCAATCATATTTTGAGTTAACAGACTGGAAAATTTGTCGGGTTTTTAATTACTGTACAAAATTTCAGACAATTTGGTTTAGTTTAAGCCCCCTTAACTATTCATCCATCTATTAACTCAAAATATGATTACAGCTTTTAAATTTTGTGCGCGAGCCATTTTTAGTTTGTTGGAAAAGACACCCCCCCCTGGTTCACAAAATTAAAGTTCGAGAAATTTTTTTCATTATTCTACATTATAAGTACCCAAAGAAGCTATATATATATAAAAAACCGGATACAAATAGGTGTTTTGCGAAATTGAGAGCAATTTTTTGTTCATTAGGGAATAGGTCCATTAGCTACATTGTCAAGCAAATGTATTTTCCTATGTAACTTAGTCGCACCAAAATGGCCGTCATTGGCTTCATTGATGCCACAGATGGTTGAAATCGTCCATGTAATCGAAAAAAATTTCAACCTGGTTAACAGGGCTGAGTTCAACCCCGGGGTTGAAAGTTCTCCATGTAATCGGCCCCTTAGCGCATAGTTAATAGAATAGATGGTTTGGAAACTCACTAGAATAACAATATAACTCATCTATGTTAGTCAACGTTTATTCATAAATATGGTCCTTCACCGTCACGTGTGTATTGTATTCTTGCCAAATCCACCAATAGCAATTTACCCTATTGCTCGAGTCACGGATAGGTGACTTTCCTAAGACATTGCTATTGGTTAGTTGGGCAAAAATGCAATACGTACGTGACGGTGGACGACCAGATTTATGAATGTTGACTAACATAGATAATGAGTTATATTGTTATTCTAATGAGTTTATGTTCAGCGTGAGGGATTTTTTCAGTCCGCAATGTTCTTAGCAAGTGCCCTAAAGACAGGCCGCATCCCCTGAAAACAAATTAAAATCTAATGTTCCAGGGGGGTGAATGCCTCTCTTTAAGGCACTTGCTAAGAACATAACCGCCAGATATACGCAGTAAAAACTACCTGACGGTTTTCCCGCAGAAGTGAGAGCTCTATATGACGTCTCTGTGGTCCAGCCCTAGTCTTGAGATCAGTGATGTGAGGTCATTTCCTTCTGAATTATTAATGAGTTTGAGATAATAGACAATTTCCATTATAGACTAATTTTAAAATTATGTAAGGAAACTCAAATCAATAACCACAGCTAGAAAGAGCATACTAAAATTAGTAAAATTACAAAATTTGGTTGCGAAATGTTGTAAAATGTGGAAAATATAGCCTTGCAAAGTTCGCAAATTTTGTATACTTTTGTATTGCGTGCGGAAATTCCTACCACATTCCTACCACATTTAGGCCGAAAATGTCGCACGCAATACAAAAGTATACAAAATTTGCAAACTTTGCAAGGCTATATTTTCCCCATTTTACAACATTTCGCAACCAAATTTTGTAATTTTACTAATTTTAGTATGCTCTTTCTAGCTGTGGTGATTTATTTGCATCTCCTTGCCTAGTTTTAAAATTAGTCTATAATGGGAATTGTCTATTGGTTAAGAATTTTTCATGCTTTTAGGCCTACAAGAAACAGTCTACTCTGTAGGATGTGAAATCGGATCGACTGTGATGGGAGTTCTTTTCCACGCCTTGGGCACACAGCTAACATTGCTCATCTATTCAATATCATCTGCTGTAGTGCTGGTTATGTTAGTTCTGCACATTCGCTTTTCAACAAGTCTGCATAAATATGATAAAGTAGCTCAAGACAGTGATGTGGAATGACAACGATAACAACGACAGCAACAACAGAAAAAAAACAAGAGTAGAGAGAGACTGGATACCTCTGTCAACGAATTAAGTATCATGCATAAATTATACACTGGGTTAATTATGTATTCAGTTTACAAGACAAACTTTTGCTTTGCATAGATACCAAAAAAGTGGAACGGTACCAAAAATCGAGCGTAGTGTAAACGGGGCTAAGTCATTGTGTTTTGTTTTTGTCTAAGTTTCATTGTATTTTCGTAGAATTACGTAATCATCCAATTAATGTGTGAGAAACTATATTATATAATACCTTATTGAATTCTGATCGTTTAATTGGCTGTTTATGGCAGGGATTATTCTAAGGTGCAGTGATAACCAATTTGTGCAGTGATAAATGTGATTTGCATGTGCAGTGATAAATTAGATTATGTGCAGTGATAAAATGCGATATTGTTCAGTACCAGAAATTGGTGACAAAATGGCTTTCAGTTTTTACTGGGAATATACAGGGTTAAAGTACTTAACTCAAAATTATTGCAATCTTAGAGCTCGGCTACTGTTTGCCGACCTTTTGATCAATAAAGCATTGATTTACAAATGTTTCGGTGGCATATTTATTCCGATCGGGTACTCTCTCCTAGCGACCAAGTCGTGTTCAAGAAAATCACTTTTTGTTTTGAGATTTTTGACGCTGTTTGGTGACACAATCAACAGTTTATAATTAATCTACTTCACAAGTATGAAAGACTAGATCTTGAGCAATATTGCTTGGTGTTTTGCATGCGATTCAAAAAATATTTGAAATGTGTATATCTTTGCATGAAATAGAATATGCAGAATGCAGATTTGGGCTCATTAGCAGTAGGTAGGTAGGTAGGTAATACTTTATTTAAAATTAACGGAAAGAAGAACACGCTAGCCCCATCAACTCTAGGCTGGTTTCCATGGGGGGCGTGTTTAGATCTTAAAAATCATTAAAAGGAAAATTTAAACTAAATATTAGTACACACATACTGTACACGTTACTATATACAAATAATTAGGAAGCATGTCGCTGTCCAACAATTGATTTAAACGAATGAGGCGACTCGGCCAATTTTGCTTCGTTTGGGAGTTGATTCCAGAGCATAGCGCCGCTATATTTAAAACTTTTTTTAAGAAATTCTCGTTTCGGTTTAGGAATTGTTAGATCAGTTGCTGTGTTTCGAAGATGATAATTAGTTTGATCTATTTCTCTTCTCACGAATGACCCCCGGAGACCTGGCGCAGTGTGGTCGTTAAGTATTTTATACATTAATACTGACTTGGCACCAGACCGCCTATTTTCAAGTGTATCCCAAGAAAGCATGTTGAGAAGATCAGCTGAGCGAGTATCATAATTAGCACCCGTTAGGACTCTTGCTGCACGAGACTGAAATCTTTGCAACTTGTCTCTTAGCAACTTACCACAAGTGTCCCAAAGGGGGGAACAATAATCAAAGTAGGGCTGCACAAGACTTTTATAAATCGATTCTAAGGTATGCATTGGAACAAAGGGCTTTATACGTTTCATAGCGCCAATAGCAGCGCTCGCCTTCTTGCATATCATTTCAATGTGACTATCCCAATTAAGGGTTTCATCTAGTTTTACTCCTAGGCACATTTGTGTAGCAATTCGTGATATGGGTTTTGCATTAGCCACAACGGGTTCCTCACACATTATATTATTAAGATTATACGGGGAGCCAATAAACATCATTTTACATTTTGATGGATGCATCTGCAGCCTATTTTCTTTAAGCCAGTTACAGACATGGGCAAGATCTGAATTTAAATTTACAACAAGTTCATTTGCATCGTAGGAAGATGAAAAGATTTGAGTATCATCCGCGTACATGCATGGATTAGTTGATTTCAAACAATCGGGCAAATCATTAATATATAATAGGAACAGCAGTGGTCCCAGTATAGATCCCTGGGGCACTCCACAGGTGATAATTTTATTACTAGATAATTCTCCATTAACATTACATTGCTGTTCTCTATTTGTTAAATATGACTCAAACCATTTTAATTCTACGCCAAAAATTCCAAATTGCTCATTCATTTTATTTAACAAAATGCGATGGTTTATAGAGTCAAATGCCTTTTTGATATCTATGAACACAACCCCATTCAACTTTCCATTGTCCATATTTTCTAGCCACTCATCACACATTTGGATGAGGGCAGTTACAGTTGAATGCTTTGGACGAAATCCAGATTGAAACTTTGACAGAAGAGAGCTTTCAGACAAGTATCTATATACTTGACGGAAAACTTCCTTCTCAAAGGCTTTACTCACCACCGGTAAAATTGAAATAGGCCGATAGTTCTCACATTGTCTTTTATCCCCGGATTTAAATATTGGCGTAACACGAGCACGCTTCCATTCATCTATATATACGCCTGTTGCAAGCGACAGATTGAAGATGAATGTCAACGAGGGTGCAATTATGTTTGCAGATAATTTTAGAATTTTAGCAGGAATTTTATCAAGACCTGTTGCTTTACATGCTTTTAGGCCTCTTAGGGTCGAGGCAACACTATCAACGGATATTGGAGATACTTTAAAAAAAGTATCTAAGGATTGATTAATATTATAGTTTATGGGCTGATTATCAACATTACTACAGGACTCGTCTACATATTCTGCTGCTAGCCTCGACCCAATATGAAATAGTCATTAAATGCATCTGCAATAGATTTAGGATCCGAAACTAACGTGCTGTCAACCAGCAACTCATTCACATTGTTGGATTTGTTATTCTTTCCCAATAATGAATTAATTAATTTCCAAGTCTTTTTAGGGTCATTCATTACAGAGCAATCAGTGATTTTATCATGAAAATATTTTGATTTTACATTTCGCATTTCAACATTCACTTTATTCCGCAGAAATTGAAAACTTTCCCAATGTGGCTGTGAGGAATGTTTTATTGCATATTTTTTATGATAGTCTCTGTTTCTCATCATACATTTAATTTCCGGAGTAATCCATGGGACCGAGTTCCCCTTTACTCGCTTATGTCGAATCGGCGCATGTATATTTAATATCTCATTAAAGAAAGATTTCCATACCCTCCAGCACTCGTTGGGATTATTATATTGATTAATTACATGCCAAGGCATTCTGGCTAAATCCCCAATAAAATATTCAGCATTAAAATGTTTATAATCCCTAACTTCTTTCACATTAGGTTTAAGTTTTGGAAGGGTGAACTTCCTGACCACATAAATCAAACTATGGTCAGACATCCCCAGATCTATTACACCAGACGTCGAAATGTTTTCTTTAGCATTAGTTAAGACCAAATCAATCAAGGTCGCCGAGGTGTTGGTCTCTCTTGTAGGTTTATTAATTAATTGGTCAAGTTGATAAAGAGAACACAAAAAGTTTAATTGTCGTGTATGGGCATCTGGTGAGGTTTTCATAACATCGCAGTTAATATCACCAATTATAATCAATTCCTTATTTTCAGACTCGCATTTTTGAAAAAAATACATCACAATCATTAAATAAGCTCAAGTTTGACTTCGGAGGCCTATACCATGTGCAGACAAAAAGCGACTTGCTAAAGGGGCGAGTAATTTCAGCACACAGCATCTCAAGACGATCGGGCACCAAGTCATTCCTATCCAAATAGGATAGGTTGTCTCTGAGTTGTCATTTGCCTGCATATACTGTAATTAATGACATGCAAGGTGCAGAACCAGAATACATGCACTCATGCAAGGCAGTCAGAACGTTTTCTAAAATGTCGCTAAATTGATATAAATTTTATCATTTTTCGCGCTTTTGTGCAGTGATAAAATTTCCTCAGAATAATCCCTGGTTTATGGTCACGTGATACTGAATAGAAAATTCCATTTCCCAAGAGTGCAATGGAATACGTTCCATTGCACTCTTTGCGAGTGCGTTTTATTCATAGATATCTTATATACACTAGATAGCGCATCTCTTTTAGTAAAATTGAAGCCAAGAATATTCCAGCGGTTACCCCCATTTGAATAGATGGCGGCCATGTTGGTCGTTCCCACTCGCTAATAAACGCTTAAAAACAACAATAACTTTCATCACTTGAATACTTTAAAAATGTATTTGGAATAGGGTTAACTCAATATTTAAGTTCCCTGTTGTATATACGAAATAGGAAATATACGAATCTTCTCTCATTTCATGGGAACAACCTGAGACTGCAATCACGGCTTCAATTTTTGAATTGCAGAATAATTAGATGCACTATCTAGTTTATATAAGATATCTATGGTTTTATTCCATTGCACTATTTGTGTTTTCGATAAATCGCATCCGTCAAAATGCTTCTCATACGAATCTGTTAGTCTATTTTGGTATTATATAAAACAAATAATGAATGTTTATTCGTGCAATGGTAAGAATATTTTCATTCGGTGAAAGATGGAATGTTCCATTCAACTCGGCTGTCGCCTCGTTGAATGGAACATTCTATCATTCACCTCGTGGAACTATTCTTACCGTTGCACGAATAAACATTCATCATTTGTATATTGGATGCTGGCCTGCTAATCTTGTCATTCGTGTAAATCTTACTGAACAATTTTAATAAATATACATTGACATTACTACCAAATAGTCTCCAGGCAGAATGCAGGAATTTTCCATTCCCGAGATCTTAGTGCGGATTGAAAATATTATTGAAACGTTCTTGACTACAGGATGTAATCAATCGGATTCAGTCTAGGTCTTCTAGAAGCCAAAATCAAATTATTTTTGCCCAGGGCCGTACGCAGGATTTTTTTCACCAGGGACAGGGGGCTGTAAGACCTGTATGCCGAAAAAAGTCCCAAATATCCAAAGAATAATTAATAATGACATTCTAAAAATCTGGGGGGCAGTTGCCCCCTTGCCACACCTCCACACCCCCTGTTGTGTACGGCCCTGTTTTTGCCCTAGAGGAACTTAGCATTTACCCATTGAGGAACTTAGCATTTAACCATTGAGGAACTTAGCATTTAACCATTGAGGAACTTAGCATTTACCCATTGAGGAACTTAGCATTTAACCATTGCCCTAGAGGAACTTAAAGCAAAATAACTAAATGAAAATACGAACAAAAGCACCAAATTTTGGTTGAAAGTCTGGCAGGACTGGGCTTTGGCGAGAGAATATGATGTTGACATTGAGAATTATCCAATTTTGTCATGCTTAATAATAAACAAGTAATGATTATATATATATACTAATTTACACATCTAGCAACTCAATATGTGTTTAATTTGGCAGATTTAAAAATCGCTTCTCATTATAAATATTCAGACTTTCAAATCAGTCCTACTCTACAGGGTGTCTAAAAAAAACGCTATGGTAATTCAACAGGCTGTCGTGCATCATAAACTTAGCTAAACAGTTCAATTTTTACATAGGACGAAAGAGCTGTTATTTAGCTTTTCTATGATACCATTTTTAAATCGTAACGATGAGAAATGGCCACATACTCGTCAAATAAAAATTACCGGTCGAAATCACATTCTTCCACGGTTGAGAATTGAAAATACATTAATTATGCAAAGTTAGTTAATCTGTCTGCGCATGCGTCAACCTTACTTGTAATAGTATTGCGAACTTGATGAGAAGCTGTTCCGAACGTTTCCGAAGGCTCAAAATGGCGGTAAAAAGGAGTGACTTCATTGTGCGTCTTTACAGCCAGATTTCGAGCGCAAAAATAAACATGTCATTCTAAAAACTAGGAATATATACAGCCAGAAGGTTCAAGAAATTGTATTGTACAAGAACACGAACTAAAGGTGATTGTTGACAAATTTATGGTCTGAAACATTTTGTTTATCAACTAAGCAACGACAATTTCCGAATTTTCGTTTGAGATACATTTCTTTAAAAAAAACTGTGTCGCCAAATATAAAAGATTTTCGTGTTCACAATAATTAAACTTTAGGATTTATTCTACAATTTGAGTGGGTTAAGAAGCTTAACTTTTCGAGAGTTTTCTTAACTTTTGAGTTTGAATTTTTGTTTTGAATAATTTTGCAAAAATTTTCGAAGTCGTGTCCGTTAAAATCAACAATTTTTTTCATGAATTATATTTCATTCCATACTTTAAATGCCAGGACGCTTTCAATTAATGTCTAGTCCATTTGCTATATTTTCTCGTTTGTTTTACTAATTTTTGACCAATTAATAAGCATGTTTTTGTTTTAGAAATTGATATTCAAATTCCCCGCCATATTTTCATAATTTGGTGCATGCGCAGACGTTTTTCCGCGGTGTTACGCGAGCCCGCTGCAAGCTATTTGTTCCGTTTGACGTCGTCGATCTTAAGCAATCTGTTGTCTCACTAAGACGAAGATTGACGAGTTGTGCTCATTTTAGATAACTTAACATTCAATTTTAATTCCCTCTTGGGAATTGTCTATGTTTCGTTTACCATGCAATTCCCAACAGTGGAAGAATGCGATTTCGACCGGCAATTTTTATTTGACGAGTATGTGGCCATTTCTCATCGTTACGATTTAAGAAGAGTATCATTGAAAAGCTAAATAACTGTTCTTTCGTCGTATGTAAAAATTTAATTGTTTAGCCACGTTTATGATGCACGACAGCCTGTTGAATTTCCATAGCGTTTTTTGAGACACCCTGTACTGCTAAGTTTATATTGACTATATTGGGTGATAACCATGCTTCATTGCATTTCTTTGTTTGCGCGACAAGGCGTGATAATTGCACTTGACGACATTACCATATTCAAATTACCGCATATAAACGGTATATGCTGTAATTTAAATATGGTAATATAGTCAAGTGCAATTATCACGCTTTGTTGCGCAAACTAGGAAATGCAATGAAGCATGGTTATCACTAGCCTACGGTGTAGACCGTAGGCTAGGTTATCACCCAATATAGTCAATATAAACTTAATAAGAAAACCCTGTTCAAACCAGTTTAGAACGTTTCAAGGTCAAGCTCATGAGATACGCGAAACCCACGGTTAACAACGTTAACATAACAGCCAACATAAGTTTACATGCATGCATGCATATATTTAAGCAGCATGCATGCATGCATATATTTTTTTTCCACTTCAACCGTATGTATAGATTTATACGCCTCACTGACGCGCATATCAGATTCAATAGAGCTAGTCACAAACGTAAATATATGTCGATTATCATGGTAAAATTCTCGCTAAAATCTGTCGCTCTAAAATGGTATTTCTTCAGTTGTCCAGGATCAGTAATAATGTTCTGTGAATATTTCAATCTTTTTATGAAACAACTTGGTTTCAACCCGGCACAGATTGGATTGACAACACTGTTTGGAATACCGCATCTATTCATACCACTGTGTCTGCTGTTCGGTGAGAAATTTCGAGCAAGAAAGATTGTCGCAGTATTTGGTACCTTGGCAGCATCAGTATGTTGCATGTTACCACTTTTATCCCTGGTAGTACCAGCACTACAGCCGACATGCTATACCAAACCATGCATACCATTCAAGTCTGCTAGGAAAGCAATACAACTTAGAAACGGAACAGTGCATTTGAACTATTCCAGCCATACAGTTCGCAGCAACAAGAAGCACTTTACATCGACAAAGTCTCTTAAAACGGTACAACAACATATCTTCATTAATAGTTCGGTCAATATAACCACCAATAACTCATCTGCCTTCATGATCCACCAAACGATTTCTCATTTCCCATTGAACAACAGCCCACCGAATACCGTGTCAGTGCATTCGAAAAATTCCAACCCTACTAGAACCCGCATAACCGACTCGAAACCACACCATTCCAAACCATATTTAACATCAACCCACACTCTATCAATACAACAAGTTTCCTCGCGCCATAATGGCCAAATGTTCTCGAAGTACTCGAAGCAAAAAACACGCCTATCTGTCTCTAAGATTCACCATTCCTCAAAATTTAACAACACCTTATCTACACAACGTATCCGACGGAGTTCTATACCTTCAAACTATTCCAACAATCCAGCCAAACCCTCCTCCAAGACTCACAATTCACAGTCTTCGCTAAGTGTTTTATTTCTAATACTGATAATCTCAAGATCTCTGACGCAGTTTTTTGATCGTATAGATCTATCTTTAGCAAACCTAGCCACAATGACTTTCATTCAAGGAGGAAACGGGAGTTATGGCGTTTATCGTATGTGGACCTATATAGCAAGCGCTCTTTCTATTCCGTGTGTCTCTGTGCTAGCTTGGTACATTCGGATAAATATCTGTGGAGTTGAGAAGTATGGGTATTTCATAGCTTTCATATGGGGAGGAATTATGTTCTTACTTTCGATGCTATCTCTTCCTTGGTTTAAGTTTGAGTACGAGAAAAAAAAATTCACCTGGTCTGGAGTTAAATCTGATGTTTTTAATGCGCACCACATTTTTATGTTCGTCGTTCTGTTTTATGCCGGACTGTGCATAGCGTTTCAATCCTATTGGGAGTTTTGGTACTTAGATGGATTATCTGCAAGCCCGTTATTAATTGCCGCTGCAGGTTTAGTGAGAAGGCCAACAGTAGCGATCTCTGCGTTTCTTTCAACTCATGTGATAAGAAAGATTGGTGAATTAAAGACGATATGTGTGACAATGTTTCTTTATGCGTGCTCGTATTTTGCGCTGTCGTTCGCAAGACTAGCTTGGTTGGTTGTCGTGATTGATACATCTCAAGCGGTTGCTCTTGGTCTCAATTACTGTGCATTCACTGTAATTTTCTACAACGCTGCGTCAAAAGAAAACTCAAGTATGATCCTCGGTAAGTAGTGTAAACAGCGCGTCCTGATGTGACGAGACAGCATGGTCTCTTATACTCTATATACTCTGTGACGAGTGTAAAGCATTTTCTGGCTAAACTGCATTAACACACACTAAGGCCACATAAAAAAATACTTGTTTAGCGTCCACCCATTTTAATTTTTCTAGGTCGGGCGGGCGGGGGTTTTTTTTCGTAAAATGCAACTCAAAATTCTGCTAAATGCAGGAAATCCAGTATATTACCACAGTCAAAACTCACTTTAATTCTTTCAAAATCCGTTCATGTTTTTTAATACCGTTCATGTTTTTAATAAAACAGAAATGACTACCGTTTGGCGGTCACGCGCGAACATGCACTTTAGCTGCGAGGAAGGAAATACTTTGTGTAAACGTATTACATAACTCCCAGAAGAATAAAATCACCATTTTTTCAAGTAAAACGGTCTTTTTTATAGAGAGTTTTTGCACTAAACTCGGACGGATTTAAAAAAAAAATTAAAAAATTGGCGGGCGGGGCGGGGACGCTAAACAAGTAATTGTTTTATGTGGCCCGACAAGATAAGAGGCGGGCATCTCTTATTGCCAAATTTGTCGGACATAAATTCGTTACAATGATGTAAATACATATATGCATAGAGTCTCTTAAAAAAATTAAAGTTTGTTTCTTGCGTATTGGCGAAGAGAATAGAGACGTTACGATTTTAGGACGGCGACGGCCAAAACAAACTCCTTCAAATAAATGGTAGTAAAGATAGTTCGTGGTATATTATCAATCGTATGAATTTAATACAGTTTTAGAAGTTGAAGACATGCATGGGTTTTATGGTTGGAAAGAGTTCTGGTAAACCCAGTTTGAAGTTGCACTTGTTGCGGGCTTGGAATGCAGCCGTTGTATCAAGACGTGAAAATCTGTGATTTGGCGTTGTAAACAGAGCGAGGACAATGTCTAAATTATTCATATATTGTAATTACTCAATTACTTTCAATCATCTATTGTATATTGGTAGCCGTTGCCGTCGCGTTGCCGTCCTAACATTAGAGAGTTTTAGCTTGACGTTTACGGCAAACGTCAAACCGCTAACGAAGTTTTTTATTTTACAACTCTATTATAACAGCTTTACACCAATTTTGAAATATAAACAATTATTAAACTTGTGCTCTTTAGCAATGATTTAAAAGAAAGCAAATTAACCACTAGTCACGTATTCGCGAAAGCAGTAAACTTAAGATTTGGCGTTTGAAGTTTACGTTTGGCGTATAAATTTCATGCTTGAACTGCTATGAGGGCTTGTATAGTCGTTAAAGCATGAAATTTATACGCCAAACGTAAACTTCAAACGCCAAATCATAATTTACTGCTTTCGCGAATACGTGACTAGTGGTTAATTTGCTTTCTTTTAAATCATTGCTACAGAGCACAAGTGTAATAATTGTTTATATTTCAAAACTGGTGTAAAAGCTGTTATAATAGACTTGTAAAATCAAAAACTTCGTTAGCGGTTTGACGTTTGCCGTAAACGTGAAGCTAAAACTCTCTATTGTCCTCGCTTTGACATTGTCCTCGCTCTGTTCTGACATTGTCCTCACTCTGTTTACAACGCTAAATCACAGATTTTCACGTGTTGATACAACGGCTGCATTCCAAGCCACAACAAGTGCAACTTCAAACTGGGTTTAGCAGAACTCTTCCCAACCATAAAACCCATGTCTTCAACTTCTAAGACTGTATTAAATTCATACGATTGATAATACACGGCGAACTATCTTTACTACCATTTATTTGAAGGAGTTTGTTTTGGCCGTCGCCGTCGCGTTGCTGTCCTCGGCCGTCCTAAAATCGTAAGGTCTCTAATGCCTCGAATGGCATACCGTTCTGAATATCTCTCCACAGACAATGGAAATCCCCGAATATTACGACCAGTGTGAACCAGGCATAAATACCCCATTGTTCTTCCACTTGACGACGTCACATACCACAGTCTCTGTGTACATTCCGTAATGATTTTATGATGTATACCATCATGCGGTCATACTTAGATCATAGTTAATAGAATAGATGGTTTGGAAACTCGTTAGAATAACAATATTACTCATTATCTATGTTGGTCAACGTTTATTCATAAACATGGTCGTTCACCGTCACGTGTGTATTGTATTCTTACCAAATCCACCAATAGCAATATTCAATTTACCCTATTGTTCGAGTCACGGATAGGTCACTGACTTTACTAAGACATTGCTAAGACATTGCTATTGGTTAGTTCAGGCAAAAATACAATACGCACGTGAAGGTGAACGACCAGATTTATTAAAGACCATGTAAAGTCCGTTCTGCGCAGGCTTACATTCCAATGGTCGGGCCGACCCGTCCGTTGGAATGTTATTAATATTTCGTATTTTTTTAACTTTCTTCAATTGAATCTCTAGTCTGTATTCATTTACAAGCATAGCGAACCGAAAGAGTGTTAAGAATTCTGTATAATGTATATCTAATCATATTTTACAACTGTAGCACTGAGTTCAAAATGTAAACAAAGCGTTTGTTTACATTACGGACTTTACATGGTCTTTAATAAACGTTGACTAACATAAATGAGTTATATTGTTATTCTAATGAGTTTCCAAACTATCTATTCTATTAACTATGATCAACGTGAGGGATTTTTTCAGTCCGCAATGTTCTTAGCAAGTGCCCTAAAGACAGGCCGTCACCCCCTGAAAACAAATTGAAATTTAATGTTCCAGGGGGGTGAATGCCTCTCTTTAAGGCACTTGCTAAGGACATGGCCGCCAGATATACGCAGTAAAAACAATGGTAAAAACTACGTTACGCTTTTCCCGCAAAAGTGAGAGGTCTATATGTACGTACTCTGTGATCCAGTCCTAGTCTCGAAATTAATGATGTGAGCTAATTTCCTCCTGAATTATTAATGAGTTTGAGATAATTGGTTGAACGTTTTTTATGCTTTTAGGCCTACAAGAGACAGTTTACGCTGCAGCATTTGATGCCGGATCGAGTCTGATGGGAGTTCTTTTCCACATCTTGGGCACACAGCTAACATTGCTCATCTATTCAATATCATCTGCTGTAGTGCTGGTCATGTTAGTTCTGTACATTCGCTTTTCAACAAGTCTGCATAAATATGAAAAAGTAGCTCAAGACAGTGATGTGGAATGACAACGATAACAACGACAGCAACAACAGAAAAAACATAGAGTTAAAAAAACGAATCATGCATAAATTATACACTGGGTTAATTACGTATTCAGCAGGATTGCCAGTTTGGCGTTAAAAGAGCCAAATTTCTCGATTTTGGCTTCTTTTGACTTTGTTTGGCTACTAAAAATTCGTTTGGCTTCTTTCTATTTTTTGGATCTTTTTGGCTTGTTCTTGAATAAATACTGAAATAAGCAACTTTTCAAAAATAGTCATAAATTGGTTATAAACTCTATGTTCGATCACATTATCCGGGAATCCAGATGTACGTAAATATCCGATTGGAATTAGTACCCTCTCCCCGGGCTTACGCGGTTTGCCCCGAACGGCGGGAAAACAAAATTTATAAAATACTCGGGGTTTTTTCGATCCGTAGTTGACGAAGACGAACTTCCATTAGAACCAGAAATATAAAGTTAATTAAAGAACTGTCTACGTCTTTACTAATGCTACCTTGATAACTAAATAAAGTTTGAGTTGGAATTCTTAGTCACTATGTCAAATATAAATGTATTAGCGATTGTTTTTATGGGTATATAATTCGTGTAATTAGGTTATCCCCAGTCCCCACTCTAAATTTCAATTTTGGCTTCTTTTGGCCGGATCTGGCTACTACTTTTTACGTATCATTTGGCTCTTTCGGGCTCAGACAACCTGGCAACCCTGGTATTCAGTTTACGAGACAAACTTTTGCTAACTTCTCATCCAATTTTCGCCCAAATTTAAATTTAACCAATCTGTCCTTGGGCAATGTCTGTTAGTCTCACAAATTTTCGTATCAATACGTTTGATATTTTTTTAAGTTATCGAGCCTCAATGGGCCCTTTTTCAAGTTATGGCCTGCCACTTGTGAATCTTTAAAACACGCCTTAATTAAAAGGTATATGCTTGATTTACCATTGCAAATGAAAAAGCATAGTCTGTTGTTCTGTACTCAATGAAGATACATTTTATCAAATTCCGAGGCATTTTTTATCAAATTCAGACCTCACCTATTAGGGAAAAAAATTCATTTCAAACACTCAGCCAGGAACGATTGTTTTTGAATAGAAATAAGAACCTGTTAAGAATCGACATGGCGAAATTTCTCACTGACCTTAATATATAAGAACCACTTTCGCCTGACATGAAAAACGGTGGTATAGTTTCATGCCGATTTTTACTGTAACAGAATGAAAGTTAGAATGATATTCAAAGGATACATCTGCAGCGTGATTTTCTGCCAACAAATCAATCAAACGATCATTGTACAATTCCAACATATACACAGAAACCTTGAAGCTGAATTTACCCCTATTGAAATAAGAAAAAAATACAATTATACAAAGTCAAAGTTACAAAATGTGTAGTGCGGTGCGATTTTAAATAAAGCGCAAAACATCTTGGACTAATGGTGTTAAAAGCTGCTATGGTTTGTGTTTGGACTACTTAATTAAGCCGTCTGGCGGGGGGGCATGGTCCCCCGGAAATGTTTGGTACATTTTATGTCATAGATGAAAACATTACGAGGTTACGACTCCCCCCCCCCCCAAGTTTCTTCTCAGTTGTGAAAGAATTACAAAGGTTCGTCCTCAAGAAAAGTGGGGGGGGGGGGGGCTAGGACTGACTACGCCCCTGGTTGTAGGTCTCTATATCATGTCTACAATGGAAATCTAAATTAAAGAATGGCCGTACTTGTTTTCATTGATGGCGGAGAACATTCTCTCCATGGCTCGAGGAGCAATACCAG